AAATTAATATAACATTACATAATTAATGATTACTAATTGATTATGAGTTATGATATTATGTTTTAAACATAGTAAATACTAATTTATACATAAACATAGCACAATACTTAATTAAATGATAAGAAATTTAATTAATATAACATTCTATAAACATTTCATTATAAACATTAATTAGCATTACATTAAGCTAAATAATTACTCAATTAAATTATAAGTTATTTATTACATTATATTATGATCACTACTAAATATAGCATTACATAGTTAAATGATTACAAATATTATTATATGAATTTATAACATTACTATTAAAACATTAGTTAATTTTTTATAATTTATATATTACATTACTAATTAAACGATTAAAATTAATTAAAAACATTACCTTATATTATTATATGATACTTAATAATTATAAAATCATTATAAATATTATTTAAAACATTAATTAAGCATAATATAGTTAAATAATTACTCAATTAAATTATAATGTTATATATTACATTATATTATGATCACTTACTTAATTATAGCATACATAGTTAAATGATTACATAATATACTAATAGTTATGAATTTATACATTACATTAAAAAACATTAGTAATTATAATTATTACATACTTATTAAACGATTAAAAAATTAAATAATTGTAACATTACCTTATATATTATTATAGATTACTTAATCAATTATAACATTCCATTATAAACATTAGTATAAATCAAATGATTTGAAATTTAATTAATTAAATATTAAATTATAGATTTTAGTATGATTATAATTCATTAAACATATATTATTACTATAAGTATGATTATATATAATAAACATTATATAATTAATGATTATTAATTGATTATGAGTTATGATATTATGTTTTAAACATTAGTAATTACTATTTACTACATAAACATTAGCAACATACTTAATAATGATAAGAAATTTATAATAAACATTACCTTATAAACATTTCATTATAAACATAATAAACATAAATTAAGTTAAATAATTACTCAATTAAATTATAATATTATTTATTATATATATTATATTATGATCACTTACTTAATTATAGCATCATAGTTAAATGATTACATAATTACTTAATTAGTATGAATTTATAACATTACATTAAACATAGTAGTTTACTATATTATTACATTACTAATTAAACGATTAAAAATTAATATATAACATTACCCTAATTATTTATAATATGATTACTTATCATATAACATTCCATTATAAACATTAGTATATTAATAAATGATTTGAAATTTAATTAATAATATTAAATTATAAAATTAGTATAATTACTTAATTCATTATAACATTACATATACATTATAGTATGATCATAAATTAATATAACATTACATAATTAATGATACTTAATTGATTATGACATATATTATAAACATTAGAATTATAATTTACTCAATACTTTATCAAATAATTATAATTTTATTTAAACATTATATTATAAATTATGTATGATATTTAATTAATTATAACATTATATTATAACAATATTATAATACTTAATTAAATATTAACAATTAATTAATTATAATTACATTAAATTAATAGTTATACTTAATTAATATAACATTACAATTTACATTGTAGTATGATCACTTAATTAATTATAACATTACAATTTACATTGTAATATGATCACTTATTTAATTATATCATTACTAGTTTCTAATATTAAATTTACTAAATTATATTGGTATATATAGATAACCAATTGACCAATAATAACATTAAATTAATAAATTTATAAACTTAATAATTTATAACTTATCAATAGACCCCTGGCAATGTTAGAAATTAGTATAAAGAATGGGGTATCTTGTAATTTTACATTTACAAACAAAGCAAATGCCCAATTCGATTAGGGTATCTCAAATTGACAAATTCTCCTCTTCTCCATCTCTCTGGCCTCTGCGAATCTGCCGTCTTTCTCTGTTTGTCTACTTTTCTGGGTTCTTCCATTCTCTCTGCCGTCTTCTTCTCTTGTGTTTTCTACTTTTCGGAACTTTAGTGTTGATTTTCGCGGCTATTACTTAGATTGAAGGTGCGTATCTGCGTGATATGAAACGAAGCACAATGCTATGTATGAATTATGATTGATTGCTATGTATGATGTTTTATACTTAGATTGAAGGTGCATGTCTGCTGCAATTTACAGCAGTTGATTTGCAGCAGCAGCAGTTGCAAATTATAGCAGTTCCAAAATTGGGTGAGGTTAGCATTTAATAATAACATTGATAGAGTGTAGTTGAGTTACTGGGTCTTCATTTTGAAGAAAGAGGGAGAGATGGCGAGTGAGTGGTGAGAGTGAGAGTTGGTTATTCCGCCTTAGTCTATAGAATTTGCAAGTCTCTGTCGTTATTAATATTCCTTTACAATATGTGCTTAATTTTTGTTTAATAATCTCAATACTAACTAAATGGGTTTAATAACTTCATTATTGATGGTGCTTTCTTTTTCTCATGCTTAATTTTATATAATATTTTTATGCAGACAAGTCAAATTTCTAAGGTGCCGTTGGACTTATATTTTAAGCATGTACAAATCATATATGTTCTAAATTTGTCTTTTGTTTTGGAAAGGGAAATTCCTTATAGAAAACTAAGGGTGTATTATTACAATATAGTTGATACAATTTGGTGTTTCTGAAAATAAGAGTTTGTAGTTGAACTGTTTTAAGAACGGTTAGGGATTAATTTGTTTTACAATATGCACTTCCATTTCTCTAAATGGGCGATTATAGGCGAAGCTTAACTTTTGTAATACTTGACCTATCTGACTGATACTGCTGTGTGCATGTATAATGCATAAAAAATGAAGATTAATATTATGTACTATGTTTTGGGCAGGTACACAATTGGAGAAGAATTAATATATTTGTATTTGATGTTTATCAGTAAAATTGTAATTGACTTTCTTGTGTTTATTTTGTAGAAATGATTGGACTTCAATCACTTGACGAAGAAAATCATGCCTAATTTGGAGAATTAGACATGGGTCATGTACTCATGTTATGCTTTTTGGGTTGTTTGTAGTTTTTAATTGTAGTGATTGAAATTAGTGGGAGAATAAAAAACTTAGTGATAGTTCTAACTTTCTATATTGTGTTTGTTAAATGATTTTGGTGAGTTATTTTATGTGAATTGTGATGAATAATTGTTTGTGTTTTGGTTTTGATTGATGAATTGTATGTGAATTGTGATGAATTGATTGAATTTAAGTGTTGCTTAGAGATTACAGGTTATGAGTTGCATTGGACACAAATGAATGAATAATGAAAATTTGTTAGGGGTGTATTTGTAAACTTATAAGGTGTTTTTGTTATTTTTTAAACTAATAGGGGGGTAATTGATTTTTTATAGGGTACCCCGGAAAGGAACCGGAACCTGCATTTTAGGTTATGGTTCCTTGAATTGAAGAACCTGCACTGTGAGGTTCCAGTTCTGGTTCTTTTTTTTGGGAACCTGCACTGTGCAGTTCCGGTTCTGATTTTCCCGGAAAATACAGGGTACCCAGAACCGTTCACCCCTCTGTCAAAGGCATTAAAAGATAAAGAATTTTGTATATCAATGCATGTATCCTTATTAGAGCACACATTATACGAGTAGTTTCATGATATATGAAAATCATTTACAAGCATTATACCAAAGAGAACTATTGTTAATAATGAAGCTGGATTCAACTTTTATGTGAAATTATGTAAATAAATATCTAGAGAAATATATGTTCATCAGCAGAATTTGAATAAGCTCATAAATTGTCTTTTTGACTTCCCTGTTCTTAACTCATAGCTCCTACGCTTAGTGAGTCCAGGATCCGAAAACTTGCCCGACATTTCAACTTGAATTTCAATTATCAAATTCTCCATCAATTGAAAATGAAACAAAATTATTGAATTTCAAGATTAAAAAAGAATAGAATTTATGAAAGGGATTAAGGGGGTTGAGAAATCAAAATCTGTTTTGTGATGTCTACCTTAATTTTGTGTATTTCTTCTAAGATAGCTCTTTTTAATACAACTATATAGCAAAGTTTGGCATCTTTCAGTGATTTATCTATTTTAAAATAATCAAAATTTATATTATTTTGATAGTTATATTACAATTCCTACACTTATTGATAAGATATATACGAAAGAAAAGATGAGAATTGTTGGCTCATCAATTTCATAAAATTAATTAACACGACTTGACCTACTTTAGTGATCTGTCCAGGTTGCAATACAATTTGCAATTATACACTTATTTTTATTAGGAGACTTTGAATAAGTTTTAGCGAATATCCCATTGATCTTTGCATGTGATTGTTTGTTCAACAATGTTGCTAAAATAATTTTATTTAATAAGAGGTTTCATTAAAACCTAGTTTAGGAATGAGATTGTTAATAATAATAAGAATAATACTATACCAACAATCCTCTCTTACAAACTTTCTTTCACAATCCTGACTTGACAATTTGTAATTGGTCAGTTCACAACAGATCTCACATACAGTTATAAGTTTCGATACGCATTCAGTATACTGCATCCCTGTAATGCCATGTAGTGGGAGAGTAAAGAGATGCTCATTTTATAACTATCAATTCATTCTAATATAGTGAATTGGAAATCGATGAAGAGAGCCAAAACAATTAAATCTCAAACCATCACTTTCTTTGGACTTCAATGGTTCATACTTAATCATCAGTGAGTAAACGTTCCTTTATCGTCTTTGAAAAAAGGGTCTTTACCATTTACACCCCTGAAACTAAAAAGCTTTCACACAGCCTCCACCAACGTCAAAAACTATAAAATATACCCTCACCCCGAACAGTTGGTGCTGGAGGCCGGAGCTGTTAAAATGGATGACAAGGAGGATAAAATTGATATTTCATAAAATGGATGAAGTAAATTAAAAAAAAAAAATATTAACTTTGATGGGGTTAAATTTTGAAAATACAATTTCTTAACAGGGGTTACAAATTACATTGTCAAGCCCTAAATCTCCATTTATTTAATTTCTTCATATGCCTGATCCGTGAGAAAGAGCTAGACTGGATACTTGGTATGTAAAACCCATTTTTCCTTCAATGAATTCATTAATAAATTTGTTTCGTTGATTGATTTTTGTTGTTGTTAATCTTGATTCGAAACTCATATATTCTTAATTTTGAATCCCTTATTTCACTTAATCCTACTCCATTTTCGAAACCCACTTAGTTACTCACTTCGAGTGAAAACCCAGTTTCCATTATTCTTTTTTATTCCTCTAATTGCAGAGCTCCGCTTGGGAAGATACAGAAAAGCGCGTGAAATGGGATGGAGAGTTCATTCTCGCCAAATTTGGTTACAAATCACATTGTCAAACCCTAAATCTTCCTTCATTCAATTTCTTCATATGCCTGATTCGTGAGAAAGAGCCAGACTGAATACTTGGTATGTAAAACCCATTTTTTCTTCAATTAATTCATTAATAAATCTCTGTCGTTGATTTTTTTTGTTCCTGTTAATCTTGATTCGAGACTCTGATATTCTTAATTTTGAATCCCTAATTTCGCTTAATCAGACTCCATTTTCGAAACCCACTTAGTGAACATGGAATAATGTGAACGCCACTGTTTGTTTACACAGTGAAATATAATATGCGATAATTTTTTTTTTAATTTTTCTGTTCATAAGAATATGAAAAATAGAACACGCAACAAATGGGGATAAAAACATCAAATAAACTTATATATACATACAACAATTACTAACGGACAGAGTTTGAGTTGGCAGCTAAATTAATATATTAATTTATTATTTCTATTCCATATTCTGGTTGGGTTGGCGTATTCATAACTGTCAATCGAGGAGAAGTCAATTGGAAATAAAGTATTAATGTTAATTTAATCCGTTCTTATTGTGATGTTTTGATTGAGTTTTTAAATAGATACTAGTCAAATTAATGTTTCCCTTTTTCTTGTTTTGCGACATCATGTCATATGACTAATTAATGTGAATGAAGAAGGTCAAGTGGCCAGAAATCAGTAATTAAAGACTATAAATTAAATATATATTTAAGAACATGAATAAGAATTCAGAACCTAATCCTTCTAAAATATTAATTCAATAATTTATTAGAAGTTAACTAGTTACCAAGTGAAAAATATGAAGCAGTGGTTGGGTTGTTGGTGCCAATCACCATAGGATTAAGTTAACTGCGGCAAGTCAATTAGAAATAAAATATAAATTTAATTATTAATTAATTAACTTAATACATTTAGCATATATATTGTCAATGAATTTATGTGTTAGTTAAATTATGTGAAAATGTAAAACAAGCATCTATTAGAGTTCTGATTACGTATAAGCGTCTTTTCCCTTATCCTGTCATATATGATTGGAGAAAAAAAATATTAAAATTTATAGTGATTGATTCCTAAAACCATTCCAGAATTTTGTCCACAATGAAGGACCATAAAATTACAAAAGCGAAAATAGAATCGTGATCGATTGTCATGACATAAATATAAAAATACATCTTCATTAGATTTATTCTTAATTTCAATTAAATTACTTCTAGTGGAAACCCAATTTCAAAATTTTTGTTTGCATGTTTGAAAATGTTGAGCCCCATTTCAATTTGATGATTACAGGGACAAAGTTAACAGTAAATAGTGGGCAATGTAGAAGGTATATTAAGAATTTAACAAAATTGTAATGATTTGGAAACTTTTGGGTGCAAGGAGAGGTAAATGTGAACCGTTGCTGAGGAATTTCTTGTGTGTGAATTAATGAATTTGTGTTACAACCACAGCAGATGTGAATGGCTTGTTAGTTGTCTGTTGGGGTTTCCTTTCACACCAGATGTGAAAGGCATCTTCTAGGAAAGGAGATAATTTAAAATGCTTAGAGATTGATGCAAATACTCAATTATATGATGTCTTGGCTTAGCTCTTTACGTTTTTGTTAATGTCAAGTAATTCTCATCGCTGTAAGTTAATGGCTGTTGCTTCTTCTTCCTCTTCTCCTCAAGAAAAGTATGATGTTTTTCTTAGTTTCAGAGGTGAGGATACCGGCGATAATTTTACTAGCCATCTATATGCAGCATTGTGTCAAAAAATGATCAATACATTCATTGATGACGAGCTTAAAAGAGGGGATCAAATTTCTCCATGTCTTTTTAATGCAATTGAATGGTCAAAGATTTCCTTGATCATTTTCTCAAAAGAGTATTCTTCTTCGTTATGGTGCCTTGAAGAACTTTTAAAGATCCTTGAATGCTAGAACAGATATGGTCTGATTGTAATTCCTGTTTTCTATGGTGTATACCCATCAGATGTAGGGAATCAGATTGGGACTTTTGGGGATGCATTTACTAAGCTTGAAAAACGTTTCAAGGGTTCGCAAGAAACATTCCAGAGATGGAGGACTGCTTTGAGAGAAGCTGCCAATCTATCTGGCTTTGATTCAAATGTCATCAGGTAACTGTTAATACTTTTATTTTCTGCTGATTTTTCGTCTTTCATTTAACTTATTTGATTCTTTGTTTCAATTTAGCATTAATCATTGGTTGAACTATTTAATATTTTTTAATTGTGTATCACTCAACTGTCGTCCACATGTGATGTTAAAAAGAAATATTGGTAGACTTGATGTGTGGAAAACTATTATTTTATATTAAAACTAAGCCGTATGTACTCTTGGATTATTACTTTACACAGAGAAAATTGTGTTGTCTGACAAATTGATGTCTTTTTGGTCTCTTTGGGAAAGGAAAAAAAATAAATAAATGAGAACCAATAATATGAAGTTAAAACAAGTGATAAGTTCTTTGGCATTGAGGGTTTGGAGAGAAATGTTAAAGATATAGTGGATACATGAAAGATATTAAGTTTCAGTGACAATCTTTTAAATTTTGTTTTGGAGGGCTGATCCTGTGTTAATGTTTAAATATGATGTCATTTGATAGCAAACTACTAGTTCAGTTTTTTATGAGGTAGCATAAGTTCTATTGATGTTTTTATTAGGCTATATAATGTTTAGTAACTGGACTCAAACATTGAAGTCAATTTACTTATTTAGGAAGTCATTACTTGTTAAATCTTGTAACAACTCTTTCCAGCGTTGGATGTTTCCCATACTCTATTAAACTTTGTTATCTTCATATATGTATTACTTTTAGCCATGCATTTTCAGTTTTAAAAATGCATTTTAACCTTGTTATCTGCCTGTATGATTTATGGGTGAAGAATTAAACATGTCCTATATGATTTAATTGGTTTATCAGGATTTTTAATAAAGCTCCATGAAAATTACCCAATTATTATTAATGTTTTTAAACTTCAGAGAAGCCTAATTAATAAATTTCACGTAAATATGACTTTTGTTCCAAAAAGAAAATGATTATACAATAATTTCAAGTCATAATGCAGGGCTAGGCCATTATTGTTTTTATTGTTATTATTGATGTAAGATGTTAATTGTATTTTACAGTTTTCCAAATTTGTTACTGAATGGAACTGACCCAGGCTTGCGGTCCTAAAAGAAGCGAGTAACACTTGAGTGAAACTTGGAGGTTGAAATCTTCTTATACAAAAGGTAATTTAAGTTCAAACCCATGAGCTTATTATAGTAGGTTGGAACAAGTTGATAAGATAACCTTTTACATCCCCATATCCCTTAAATGGTAAAATGTAAAAAAATGACTCATGCAAATTCTGCGCAGCATGTTTCTTGTTGCTTTGGTAGGAAACCCTCCAAGAGGAAATTTAACGCTTTGCACTCCATTGTTTATGGGGTTTCTTGTTTGCCTGATCTTGAAGATATGCCAAATCTTGGAACTCTCTGTGGTATTCTGTATAGTTGTGGTGGTGTCCTGCATAATAGTTCAATGATTTCAGGGTAAAGTTTACTTTTTGTTGCCTTTTGAAGCTAACTTTCTGCAATTTATATTGGTCATTATATTTGGTTTGTCTTGTTTTGTATTACTATATATTTGGGTGAATCCATGCCATGCCCTCTATGTTCTGCAATTTGAAGTGCTATTATTACTTAATATCAAGCATCCATCTGCTGAAGGCGAAGTCTTCTTTTTTCTTTCAAATAAAAAACTCATTGCCTCAAAGTGTGAGGGACATTTGATAATTTCTCCTCTGAAAAGGATAAAAGGCCAAATTGAGGCAGCAGCCCATGCCCATGCATATTGTGTTACATCAGGTCGCACAATTCTTTTTATGAATTATTCATTCAATTTCTGAATTGTGTAATTGCCTCTTTCTGATGCTAGTCAGTTTGCAACCAAGTAATGAAAGAAGTTCAAGCTGACCAACAATGGAAGACAATACCACCTGCTTTGTTCAGAATTGCAAAATTGACAGTGGCTGTTTCAGTCTTGCTTGGTCTCTGGTGCACACACTAACGATAACCTTTTAGCTGGCCAGTGGACACATTTTGTGATGGACGTCATTATGAAATTCTCTGGATTTTCTTCCCCGGAATTCGGATTATGTTGCTGAACTATTTAATTAGATATGTTAGATGAAGGCTACTGCTATATAATCTTTTACTGCCGGATGCTTTCTGTGTTGTGATTCAACATAATTACTATCTAATAGTTGGTGATGTTTGGTTTTCTAGGCAGTGAAATGATGTTGATTGCTCTTTCTACTCTTGTAAGCTGCTACTATTTGGGTACTTGTTTTCTGTGTGAAACTCTGGTTGTTTTTTTCTGGGCTTTTCCGGATATTTTTGCCTTCTAAGGCTGCTTTGTTTTCTTGTATTTGCTTAATTAGTTTGCTGTCTTTCTATGGCTATGCTGTGGCTATATAATACCATGTAAAAGTGCATATGACAAGTTTTGCGTTTTTGTTTTACAAGTTTCATGTTGATGTGTTATTGCAACAATCTATTGTAACAAAACCCCGCCATTGATTGTTTTAGAAAGATGCATTCGGTAGAACCTTGGGATTTATCATACTTAGGAGTGTTAAAAAAAATATATATATAGAAATCGAACGAAAATAGTTTTTGATTATTCAAAAAACCGGTTTGATTTCGGTTCAAAGAAATACAAAAATTCATTTTTCGGTTCAGTTATTGGTTTATGAGAATATGGGATCGATTAACCGAACTTGATTTTATAAACCGTTTGATTATAAAAATATTAAATTAAAATATAAAATTAAAAACAAGTTTATTGTAAACATATTAAATTAAAAAATATATAAAATATTAAATTAAAACCTGTTGAAAATTAGTTTTTCAGTGTTTAAAACCAGTTTTTCCTTTAACTGGTTTGGTTTCAATTCAGGAAAATTTCTTATCTCAAAACTGGTTCGGTTAACAAGTTTTAAACACCCCTATTCATACTATTACCAAACCTAGAAGTTTAAAATGTTTTTCAACTCATCATAAAACGTGATGAGCACGTGACATGGTCAACTGATGGATCGGAGAGCTGAATCAGTCTAGTGGAATCGCATGACATGATGGCTCTTATGTGTGTTTTAGTCGTGAGAGAGGCACTGAATCGCCAGGGAAATGGGGTGGAGGAACTGATCGTTGGCGCCAATTTGTATTGTTTTCAATCACATTATCAAACATGAATCTCCATTTGTTCAATTTTATCAGACGCCAAATCTGTGGGAAAATGTGAGGGTGAAGACTGGATATGTAAAACCCAATTTACTGTTATTGGCTTTAATCAATTAATTCTTTATTTATTTTGATTGATATTTACTGTTGTTAATATTGGTTTTGTGTTGTAAGATTCAAATTTCATTGCTAGTGGGTGGGATATGGTTGCAGGGAGGTGGCAAATTGATTTATGCAATGACCAAATTACCCCTAAAACTGAGTTTCCACAAAATTAATAAAAATTTCTTTATTTTTAAATAACTTAACATAAAAAATTCAATAAAATTACCTACAACACAAAGTTTTTAAAAACAATTTAAAAGGCCAAAAATTAATATAAATTTTAAGAAATTTTTGAACTGGGTAGGTTTTTATTATCATTTTTCCCCTTTTTTTGATGAATTTAACATAATTTTTAAGACTTTTGGGTTTTTTTTTATGATTGTATATATATTTTTATTAATTTAACATAATTTTTAGGCTTTTCTTTTGAATTAAAAAAAATTACGGTAATATTGTCATTTAGTGGTCAAAATCATTGAATAGTTAGATTTAACGGAAAAAACTAACGGTAGGAAGGTGGTTGGATAATTCGCATAAAACAGGGACCAACTTGTTAATTTTGAAAACCATAAGGGAGGTAATTGGTTTAAACCCCTTTTTTTAATTAGACAGTCTCACAACCATAATGTTATAATTTGGTTTTGGATTTAATAAAATTCACCTTGAGGTCTCTTGAATTTCCTCATAAGGTATTTGAAATAACAATTTTTCTGTTGTCATTATTGGAGCTTTTGGTGTTTAATTTAGAGGGATTAATGGTAATATGTGTTATTTAGGTGATAGAAACTATATTAAAACCCTAATGATAGGAGGTAAATTGTTATTTTAGATATTTAAAGGTAAACATTTTATTCAAGAAAAACTTGGGGAGAAATTATATTAAATCACACAGACGTCCTCTCAGGTTTTAACATTTCACAAGCGTATACAAAATATTCCACTCCTTTAACTTTCATTGGCGCTATGTCAGGGTTATTCTCATTACAATCTCTCAAATATACAAAACCAAAGTGAACCCCCTAATTAGCCACTTACACCCCTTATCATCAAAATTTATGGAACATAAAGTCAAGATTTATGATGTTGGTGATGTTTGGATTTATGGGCAGTTAAATGATGTTGATTGTTCTTTAATACTGTTATAAGCTGTCATTATTTAGGTGTTATGTTCTTAATTGTTCCAAGTAAGATGTTTGGATTTAGAGTTGGTTTTATTTAAGGTCGATTTGATGTTGGTTTTTAGGGATGAATGATTATAGGAACTCAAATTATAGTTTGGAAAATAAAGGAATGCATATATGCCAATGATTCCACACAGAAATTGAATCAATTTTTTTCTTTTTACAAATTGGTGAATAAAAAGAAAGTATTTATGCTCTTTTCTCGGTTATTTGGGTTAATGGTCAAAAGAGAGGGCAAGGGGTCTCCATTGTAGTTTTGGAAGTTCAACTCAGATATTTTTAATATATCATAAGATGTGAAGTAGGACATAGCAATATATTTTTTATTTAATTTGTTGTTTTAATTGATTTTTGTTCGCATAGTGTAAAATTCTTAAATTTTTAGTTTTTAATTAACTGAATCCGACCCTGTTTAGATACCCACATAGATAAATCAATGAATGAATATGGTAGTTGAACTGTTCTACCGATCAATAGTTTAAATAAAAATTACACCTAGAGTGCATTTGGTCCAAGGAATATTTTATTATTGGAATGTTATATTAATTGAAAGATAGATTATCTTGAAGATTATTGGGAATGTTTAAGGAAATATGTTTAGTTAGGTTGGAATAAATTAGTGGATATGTTATATTGATATGTTTGGTTGGTAGGTGAATGAGTGGGTACGTTATATAGATTGCTAAATTGTCTCCTTTTAAATTATTGATATAATATTAATTTTGTTATTATTTTTTTAATTATTTCTTTTAGAAATTTTGCTAAAACACTCTAGCCATGTAAAACTTTAATTTTAGCAAAATCACCCCCACCTACCCCAAGCCATTGCTGGTATCTAGCCACCACTGTCAACACCGTCGGCAGTCATTAGATTGGTGTACAACCGGTCGGATATGGCCGGTCGTGCACCGGTAAGGTTGTTTCACTGTCAAGGATGTGGCTGTAAAACAACCATAGATCTTGGCATGAAAAGGCCAGATCTTTAGCTGTGATCTGGCTGTTTCCGACCAGATTGAAAGTTGGAAAAAGCCAGGTCGCTATGGACCTAGCCGTTTCTAGCCTTAGATCTAGCCGGAAATAGCTAGATCGACGTATAGCTAGCCAGATCCTATAGATCGTGTGTCGATATGACGACTATCGTCATCGGTTGGCAGTGGACTTAGGTGATTGGGGATATTTTTTTAACTTTTAAACTTTTTTCTGGCCAAGCTATTTTAGCTAAATTCTTAAATGTAGAGAGTCTGAGTAATGGTTATTTGGTAGATATTTGAGGGTAATTATGTTTGAAATGGTATTTAATTAAGGGCAAAATAGGTATAAAAATTAAATTACTTCGATAATTTTTTAATAACACCCCTTGACAAGATAATATGATTATCTCATATATTATCAATAGCAAATATTATTTATAATAAAAAATTATCATAGTATTTTATTATTTGTAAACCAAACCAGAAAATCATGAAAATTAAAAAAAATTATCGGAATAATCGTAAATGACCCCATCCAAACGCATCCCTAAAGTATAATAGATGATAAGCATATGAATATATATAGTTGGTGTAATAAACGCATCCCAATGTTCACAGCCCAATATGTCAAGAAAAATAAGAAAAACGGGAGCATCTTCCGAGGAAAATGATGAAATTAGAAATGTAGAGAAAGAGCCCATTTATTGCTCATTCAGATTGCAGATGAAGATAGAAATGTAGAGAAAGAGCCCATTAATTGCTCATTCAGATTGCAGACGAAGGCAATAACGCATCTTCCAAGAGAAAAAGATATTACAACCAGTGATATTTTATAACCAAACAAGAAAATCTTAATAATATTTTATTATTTATAAACTACAAAAAATTCTTAAAAATTAAATAAAGATTAATCAGTAATATTTATTATTTATAAACCAAATAAAAAAATCTTAAAAATTAAATAAAAATTATCGGACTAATCTTAAATGACCCCCGTCCAAACGCATCCCCAAAGTATCATAGATGATAAGCATATGAATA